ATCTACAGATAATTCCCAACTCTTATTTTTGCTAAAAATTGCAACTTTTCCCAAGACCCTCTTTCAAAAGTCTGTGAAAAAAGCTCCTGTTTGACCACATTCCACTCACTGATAAACATCCTTGGTTGGGGCTGTAGACTGTGGCTTTGCAGTGATCATGCATATCCATTATATGTATATTTTCCATGTCATTGTGTACAGAAGACCTTACCTCAGTAGTCTAGCAATCTAGCAGCCTCCTCGAAATCCACTCTCAAAAACCCTTGCTTTCAGAGATTGTTTAAAGGCTTAGTCTCTGGAATTAGGTAGATGTGCTTTCCATTCTGGTTCCTGGATCCTTCACTTACTGTCTGTGGAATAAAGAACAAGATGACCTTTCTGAAGCACAGTTTTCTCATCTGTAAGAGAGGGATAATAAGACCTACTTTCGCGAAAGTCAATTGTTAAATTTTTAGAAACTTTGCAAAACAGTTCTTAAACATGCCCATTATTAAAAATTAAGTTATATAAACTTACAAGTAAATAAAATATATTAAAACAAATGTACTAAATGCTCAAAACTCATTACTTCCTATTTTTTTCCTATTTTTTACTATTTTCTATGCCCATAGTCAACAAACTGTGGCCCACTACCTGTTTTTGCATAGCTCACAAGCGAAGAATGGGTTTACATTTTAAATGGTTAAGAAAAAATTCAGAGAATACTATTTCATGAGACATGAAAATTGTATGAAATTCACATTTCAGTGTCCATAAATAAAGTGTTATTGGAAGGTAGCAATGCTCATCTGTTTTCATATTATCTATGGCCACTTTAGCTCTACAATAGCAGAGTTGAGTAGTTGCAACACAGAACTTATGGCCCTCAAAGCCTAAAATATTTACTATTTGGCTCTTTACAAAAAATATCTGCTGGGCTGGCCCAGTGGCGCACTGCTACAGTGTGCCGCTTGGGAGCGCGGCGGCGGGGACCCGCCGAGGGTTCGGATCCCACATACAGACCGGTTCCCGCTCACTGGCTGAGCGAGGTGNCCTCAAAGCCTAAAATATTTACTATTTGGCTCTTTACAAAAAATATCTGCTGGGCTGGCCCAGTGGCGCACTGCTACAGTGTGCCGCTTGGGAGCGCGGCGGCGGGGACCCGCCGAGGGTTCGGATCCCACATACAGACCGGTTCCCGCTCACTGGCTGAGCGAGGTG